AAAAAAGCTTGGCTCGAAGAGAAATTTAGACACTTCGTGTATTTTTTGAAATGGAAAACTCTTTATTTCTCGAAAGATTGGTGTTGTAGAAAAATTATGGTATGTCCTCTGAAAAATATACTCTGAAAATAATTACGAAAATTATCCTATATTTACTTAACTTCTTAAGTCCCTCGATTTTTCAGTTTTTGAAGACAGCACCGCACGAAGTAAAGAAGAGTTCTTTTTCTTTTGATATGCAACACTTCTACTGAGAATATCATCAGAATTTCCTTATAAACTTTACACTGCAAAGAGCTTTACTAGCATTACATTAAGTATAATCTCTCTATCAGTTCTAGAACCGTTTCTCTATGCCCCCAGCCTTATTATTCTACACTTCGGAGAACTCATATGCTTAGAAGGAAATTCTTCTAGTAGTGCCAATCGTATCTCAAAGCGACTTGCTAAGGCACGTAACTATATTATTTATATTTACAAACACACCTTTACACCTGGCTCTATAAATGAAACGCCGGCATTGTGTGCAAGGGTCACTGTTGCAATTTGCGTGCTCTTTGCCAAGTAATGGCGGAAATCACTTAAATGAACAATGCATACATACATACGCACTTTTGTTGGATTTTACAAAATGCTGTTCACTATATAGTGTGTAAGCACAAAACTACATGGGTACCTCAAAGCATACAGAGATTAACTAGCTGCGCATACTGCGTCGAGGTGAATTAAATATATTTATGTGTGTATGTATGTAATAAAGTGACTTACAAAACAATAGTGCTAAAGTGCAAAATAACTAGAGCAAACAGGAGAAGGTCAGCGTAAATAACTTTGTTGAGTGCAAACTTTTATGTGAGGGAAAAGAGTATGAATGTATGGAAGTGTGAAATGCTAATTAAAGTGGAACTTAAGTCAGTAACTTAATTAGCTTAATTGGTGTGGAGCTTGGGTAAGTTCATAGATATATTTGTATTATGTAATTTTCAAGGAACACATGATCCATTACCGGACTGCGAGGGAGTTTCAATATCAATAGCGTGAGTAAAGAATAACAAAGCTACGAGAATCGATGAAGTATCGCCTACCTGGACAGGGTGTTTGCCGCTATCTGAGGCACGTAGGGCGGAGGTACATTCGTAGATTTAAATCGTAAGTGACCTTCGCGAAAAAACAATAATAAACTCATCGCAGGGAAACCATGTGGCAATTTTTTTGTATTCATGAGCATGGCATCAATAAATGGTTTTAAAAGTGAATAATTTATAAAACTATTGGAGGTCATAGGTATTTGCTTTAAGTCATTTAAGCCGATCTTCTGTTTGGTCTTTCAACTAACAAATTAATTATTATTATATTGTAATTAAGTTATATTTTTCACGATTGTCCCAATTTTGTAAACTTCTAACATCTTTTAATATTATCAAGTTATTACTAAACAAATATTCATCTAATACTTAACATAACACTCATACATTCAGATCGCGTAGAAAGGAATAGCCTTAAAATCATCTTTTAATTCGATATTTTTACACTGGGATTTCTGATCAGATATTCCTTCACAATCGGCTTATCAAACTCTTCACCTTTTCATTCATTTCCAAACGATTCTCGAAACTACAACTAACTTTCATCACAAATGTATCAGCTTTTATATAAATAACATATCAACCAGAACGCTGACTGAGTTTACCATGGTCTACCCCTTTATGCGTGTTTCTTCTAGGCTTTATATCTAATTCTGTATTAAATAAACTATATATAATATATCTGGTAACGAATTCAACGTCGTAAGTTTGTTGCTTTCAAATGTAAGCGATGTGAGAGCAGAAAACAGCGATCGAGAAGAGGCGAATAGAAGACAGCTATTATAGAATGTTCCTGCGAAGTGGATTAACTGATATTAAATAATTAAAGGAGTGCTACTTGACGTCTGGTAGTTTGTTTCAATAATAAGTGCATTAGAGGCTTATGCTGCCGACCGATAGCCAGATTCTATTTTTAAGGAAAATAAAATAATATTTTGAATTAGCAGTTTTAAATATGTTTTAAAACAGCACTAGGAAACAATGTTCCTTTAATGGCGTACTTATTTACGAAAACTGTCTGCTTTGAATACAAAACTTCTAAACTTAATGCAATATATTTTTATTTAACATGCAAAACACCAAAAAATTTTACTAGCCAAGCATATCCGGAACACATAAACACTAATAGTGCTAACCACAGATGGCAGCTAAGTTCGACACTGGCTGCAACATAGTGCTGAAATTTAAATAAATATATATATTCTGATATTATTCCACTAGACATATGAACAGATACTTTTGCAACCAACTGTTTTGAATGGCCACTGTTGAGCACCCCTTTTGTGTAGCGACACAGCGTGGAACGCCAGTAACAGTTAGCGCACATATGCCGACTATCAAAAATACAAACACAACTACTACAACAACAGCGGCAGGCAACGCGATTAACACCGGCAGTAGGACTGGTGAATTCGGCCGCGTAGTAAAAAGCGAGGGTGCATGCGAAATGCGACGCAACAACAACAATCATAAGTAACAACGTGGCAAACAACAATGCAAGCAATAACAATAAGCGAGTTCATAAGCAACAGCAGCAGCAGTTGGAGGTTGGCAGAGAAAAATGAATTGCGAGTCGGCAGACAAAAGGCTTTCCGTTTCTACTAATACTCGCGCAAATGTTCTTGTGTGCAAAAGCAAGCAGAAATGTAACAGTCAAAGGGAGGATCCATAAAGTAGTACAACAAAAGAGTGGCTGTCGAGCGAGGGGAGAGGGCCGAAGAAACGCTCACAACTGGCGAAATTTGCGAATAAGTTAAAAAACAAAATAACCGCACTGTAGTGGTTCCACATACACACATATGAGTGTGTGTGTGTGCCTGCATGTAGATATTCGTGTGTATGTGTATGTGAAATGAGCGGCATAACTACAGTTTATAAATATTGCTGGTAAGCGTTGCAAATTAACAGACAAACAAGTGGGTAACACTTGCTACCAACTGCTGCTTGTGGCTGCGTCAGTTGTTGTTATTATTTCTGTTGCACGTTGTTTTTATTTGCACATCATACCTTCTGCGCTGCTCCTTGCAAGCGTGAAGCTTTAGAATTTCGAACATCTGTCGTCGTTTGTGTGAATTTCTCTCTTTTTATTGCCCAGGCTCTCGTGAGCGACCGCTCTTAAATTATTGCCGGTGTATTTTGAAAGAGTAAGTAATTTTAAATTCGTGGCACAGTGTAGCAAATATACAAAATTTGCATTTAAAAAGCATAATTTACGAAATTGACAAAAAACTATACAATTTTTTAAATCTACGAACTGTTCAGAGACTTACCGGGCTGGCTGAAAAGTCAGTATTGTGGTACAGAAAAAAATAATTTTCTAGTAAACTTTGATTTAATAATAATAGTGATATATTGTATTTTGCTCCAAAATAATGCTCAGTGTTGGCGATTGTCTCTTCATGGTTGCTAAATTTCTTTCCAGCAAGCCTTCTCTTGAGGTCTGAGGATAGGGTAATCGCCAATGAACCAGATTGTCAGATTATTGAAACTGCACTCTCTTTTTCTTTTTTAATGCATTGTGCATTTCGGGTTAAAAAAATAAAAAAAAACTTTGATATCGGATTGAAACCGAATACGACCTCAATAACGTTAGCAATCAAATATTTAAATGTAGTAATTATTCCATAGTCAACTACTTCAGGCTAATAAAAATAATTGTTGCCGAACTTACTTCTCAAACCGACAATTGGTATTGAAATATAGAAATGTTAGTACTATTGATTTTTGTGGAAATAATTGTGGGTAAAATAAAAGAAATATTCTCTCGAACCTCATCTTTAAGATTTTTGGATTCTTTATATTTTAAGTCCAGCATCTCCTCGAATTTACCAGCTACGCCTTAATATCACACAATAAATAAAGGTGCAGATGTTTCCCATTGCTTGCCGAAACTACTATTACAAAATAGCCTCTGATATTTCTTGAAAGAGTTATTGACCCAAGGCTCGATCTCTGCCTTCATCCTAACAAAGGCGACAATGATACGTTGACGATGTACTGATTTTTCTACTCGTACTGTATCCGAATCAAAATTGAAAGATGAGATGGTGAACTTACATTGTTAATAATTAAGCGTTATCGTTATCTCTAATTCGAGTACAAATGTAAAAAAAAACATAATCAATAGGATTCCAGTGCGAGGGTATGGTATTGTTAAAGAAATACAAACTGATAAAATGAAAAAACTACTACTACGCTCTTCAAAATAGGCTCCTGAGCCAAAAGAGTTATACCAAAGCTTAATTCAATTTTCCATACACTTGCTAAAAGCCTCGACTTTGATGGCCTTCAGCGTTGTTATACCGGTTTTGATCCATTTTTATAGCGACATTTAAAAGTTGTACAGTTTCGACATCGTATTCATAAACCCACTTCTCTTTACCAGTAATGATTCATTTTATGATTAGTGAGTCAGGCATGACACACTTAGTAAAAAATTGTACCAATTTAGGAAAGGAAATTTATCGGGACAGATTTGATCAGATGGCTAGAGCTAGTAAGAAATTATAATAAACTATTTTGGAAATTTAACAAGGTGGATTTAACTGGCTTTGCTGTCATACCCTATAAATTAGAATTATCCATGATAAGTAATATCACACAAAATATATTATCAATATTAAAACATTGTTATTATAAACAATTTACTAAATTGAATGCGAGATTATCCTTCAAACCCACTGTGCCATTCAAACCGCTTTGGCCCAATCAAATTTTAGTACAACGAGAGTTAGAAGAGAGAACGAGCAAAGTTAGCGTGAGCGAACAACCTGTTTGCAAACACAATGTTAACTCTCTTCAACGCTCTTCCAATTGACAACGACTTAGTGCTGGCGAATGTCGGCAATTGGACACCAATCGGACAGATGGCAATGCGAAGGTATAAAAGGACGCACCAAAAGGCGCGTTATTCAGTTTTAGTCCTGACAGCCCTTGCGGTAGAACGTGTAAAGTGAACTTGAAAAAATCGATAAACGCGTAGATGATCAAATTGGATATAGAAACCAAATAGTGTTGGCTTAGCTGAGCATGTGCGACGGTTTGTCGACAAGTGGGCGTATGTTAAGGAAGGTTCAAACAGTCGAAGCAATCAAATAACAATAATAAGTGAATATTGAAGTACAATAAATTATTCAAAGGCAAAGTTGACAGCGACAAGTGTGTTAAAGTAACGGAAAATCGAAAATACGAAAATACTGTGCAAGTGTAAACAAGGAAAATTGGAAATATTTATATGAATTATATATTTGAGAATTGTGGCAAAGCATACTTTTATGCGCCCAGGCGTATTTACCGACGTGTGAGTGTGTGTAAGTGATTAACGTGTAAAGAGTGACCGACAAGCGCACGCATTTAACGCCAGCGGCTTAGTGGGCTGTTGATTTATACGCCGTTTGTGCTTTTATTGTGCTTTTAACGGTTTTAATGGGCGTTGCGTGCGACGGCTGTAAAGAAAAATCAAAATAAGGTTGAAAGAAAAACACAAAGAAACAGAGAATTACAGCATTTACGGTGACAAAGTAGAAACTGCAAAGTGTAAGGCATCGTAAACGAACTTACAAACTTGCAACCATACAACAACAGTGACAACAACAGTGTCGAATATGTTGCTTTTATCTCGCGCGTCGATTTTTTGGCGCTCCGGCGCTTTCGTGTCGTTAATTGGCACAATTCTTGTTGCATGTCTCATGCAACTGCCCGTCAGCGCGGTAAGTGTAATGCATAGCACGCAACAGCAACAAAAGGGGCAGCAGCAGCAACAACAGCGTCTTGGCAACATGTTGCGTGATGCCGCCTTTAATAAAAACGCTCCTAACGACCAAGTGCTTAGCGATAATGACGTTGCAACTGTCGACGAACTAGATTCCGACAATTATATTGGCGATGATTTTGCTAATGACTTTGCCGCTGCTTCGGAGCGCTACGCCGCCAGCGCTGAGTCCTCCAGTGTTGAGCTGTTGCGCTTTGTCGACGAGCGCGACGATGCAACGCTGGTACATGCAACAACCACCGGTGCTGCTAGTGCGATCTCCACCACCACCCCCAGCATCTCAACAACTACCATAACAGTGGCGCCACCGCATGAGCAGAACGCTGATGCACTGCCGCTCGCCGAGCAGGTGCAATTACTTTCCAAGCAGTTAAACGCACTGATGATGCGCCGTCGTGAGGATTACGAGCTGCTCGAGCACAATTTGCGCAAATCGTTGAGAATCGGCACGACTGCGGGCGATGTGTTGTCGGCCGGTGCTGAGGATGCAGATATGCGCACCGAATTGCAGGATTTGCGGTAAGTAGCCGAAATTAATCGATCGATTTACGCGCACACAAATTGCGTGACACTTCAAGAAATTTGCGGCAAGTCACAAATTAGGTGTCTAATAGGCGTTCGTGCGCCTGCTAACTAGGTCAGTTGGATATCTATAAATAGACACAGACTTCACTAGAACAGACAACGGCCTTGCCACAATCGGTTTGTTGCAGCAGTCTTGCTTCCTCAGCGTTTGATCTTCGATGTTTCTATTCTTGCACTTGTTTTGCTTGACTGACTTTATTGTATTCCGTGTTGCAACCGCCACCGTTGCTGCTATAATTATTTTTCCCGTGGCTATTTGAGCTCTTTCTTCTTGCCTCTCTTGCTTCGTTTGCACATCGAATTTGCGCCCATTTTGCCGTTGCTTCTGTTTGATGTGCAAATTAGTTATTGAATATTAATCAGCCAGTTTCAGCGCAGAGCATAGTCCGTCTCACCTTTCGCTTCGTTTATAATATCTTCTACTTCTAGGTACCTATGGTTGTATGCTAATTAATATGAAACAGTGAGAACTGGAAATGCAGAATTGAATGCGTAATTTATAGATTTTCTCCGTTTACTCAGCGGTTTGCTTTAAATTGCCGAAAATTTGTAAAATTGAAGGATTAAAGAACATTTTTTTGTGTATTAGAACATTTGTTAATATATTATTTAATGTTCTTGTAATTCTGCTTTTTTAATGATAACCATATCGGTTCATAATGTATGTTTTACTGAACTGTGAAAATATTTAACTGTCTTGAAAAATATTTTTATAATTAGGACAGCACTTTTGACAAATAGCAGATTTAATTCAAAACTATAATACCATAAACCCAAAATTTTTACAAAAAATATTAACAGATGATTGATTTCAATATAATAAATATTTCAGAGATTATGCTTATTTCTCAAAAGTTTCTGCTACTTTTTGTTTTTTTTTTGTTTTAAGATGTATATATATGTAGTTTTATGACCCCAAAGGCCATTTTAAAATTTTCTGAGCTCTTCGAAACCGTTGTTAAAATATTATATTTTCAATCAAAATTTTACTATCGATTTACTAATGTGTCTCTTTTGTATATATTTAAAAAATTAAGAGACTAATTAAAATTGTGTCAAACTCTTATCAATTCTCTCGGACTTTTTTTTTAGACTCGGATCACATTATTAGTAAAATATATTAAGTTTTGACTTTTACTGGATGTAATTGTATTCTAATCTGAAAATCTGCAGACAAATAGCTGGCTTTCGCATCAAATAGATTTCAGATGTCACTTAGAATACTTATATAAGTCATAAATTTGTATTGTATTTTTTCGAAAGGCATTACAAGTAAGTCTCTTACTTGAGCAAGTTGTCAATACATCCGATAGGCTAGTAGATATGATTAATATGTTGAATATTTGAAAATAATTTATTGATTTCGTATCGATTATTGTCAAAATATTCATATGTTATATTGACATGAAATATAACCTTTAACTTTGTTATTTTTTTTTACTCTCCAACTTTTAAAATGAAATCTCATTTAGTGTTTATTATCCATGTGACGAACATTGCACAGTTTTTAAATAACAAGTTAATTTTGAAGAGATTTGTATCTTTTATATTGCCGAAGAGGTTGGAAAAATTTATCAAATTGGTTATATCCCAATGCGAATTGAGAGCAACCGTATAACTTCACTTTGAATCGAACATAAATCTGCTCAGTACTAAATGGTGATTTTTAGTTGTATAGAAATTTTAAACGAACTTCTCTTGTCAAAACAGCTATTACACATAACACAAATCTTCATTATAGCTGAATTTCGAGGTTTCTTTGCTTAGAGTGAAACTTGCTTTAAATCCGTTAAACTCATTTCTGTGTGTTAACGCTAAGTTGAGGCTTAATGCTAATGCCTTTGAGGACAAAGAAAGTCAAAATATTTATCATTCTGTATTTTATTTGAAATGAGTATTCTCTAAAATAATTATTTTGACATAGTATAACAGCCTTTTTATATCAGATGCCAAATGACTTGAATTGTTTTCCTTGCATTGATTGTGTGTTTCGTAGTGAAACATCGGTTTATTTTTACAGCTTTAAAATACATTATTTGGTGAATGGTGAATAAACATTCATTAACCCCGCAGTAAATGCAAATACGAACACCAATGGATATTACTTGGAAAACAAAAATTATCAGCTAATAACTTCAATGTTTCAAGGAGCCTTGTCGCGGCAAGTGCTTTGTGATTCGGAGAATTTTTAATATCGATTCTGCAAGCATCAAAGTATAATATATTATGGATGAATATAAAAAAGTATTCTGACTACTAGTAATTTGTAGTATAACAATGGCCTGACAAAGCAGTGAAAAATATTTCTGTTGATTATTGTAAACACACAGATATCAATTATTCATGAAAAATAATGTATTATCCACCATACCATTTTATTTAGATAGAGACAGGAGTAAGTAAACTATATTGTATAGGAAATAGGAGTAAAAAACAAGAAAAAACGTTATATTCAGTTGCAGCGAGGCTAAACAGATACAAAAGATTACTTACAAGAACCTGATTTTGTATGGCAACTATAAACTATATTGGTCCAATCTATACAATTTCTTCTTTTATAACGTTGCTTTGAACACTAATTCATGACAATTTCGTGAAGTAAGCTCTTCAAATAAAAAAGTTTTCCATAAAATACTTGTTTTAAATCGATCCGTTTGTATGGCAACTATATGCTATAGTGGACCGATATTGACAGTTCCGACAAATAAGTAGCTTCTGGCCGTGAAAATGACGTGTGCAAAATCGATCGATATCTCAAAAACTGAAGAACTAGTTCGCGTATATAGAGATACATAGATGGTCATGGCTAAACAGGCGCACCTCGTCACGCTGATCATTTATGTATATACTTTATTTCAGACCTTTCCTTTTGCAAAATATCATTACAAATATCGTGGCAAACTTAATATACACTGTTCAGAGTATAATTATGGACTAGCAGCGAGATATCCAATAGATAATTTTTACCTAAATAAAAAAACGCCAAAAGTAGGGTCATTAAAAGTCACTGCGATGAATAATAAAAAGTGGAACTTGAAAAACAGAAACTTTTGTTTTACAAATTTTTACTCAAGCTTTAAAATGTTTACAATGACAGGAAATAAAATAGCGATGTGTGTATGTTAGTGAGTGAGCTATTTATGGCAGAACCTGCCAGCGGCAGACATCGTAAAGCAAATGTTGTTTTTTATGGTTTTTCTCCACTTAATTGAAGCATAAAACATGCAAATCAATCAAGAATGAAAAGAAGATACTAAAAATTCTCTCAATATTACACAAACAAAGATGCAGGCATATAACAAGAACGGTAGCTGCCACAAAAAAAAAAAAACATATCGGCATAACATATCACAGCGAGCAGTCAATCAAAATTCCATGTAAGGAAAAATAATAGACGCAATAAAAAAGCAGTTGCTGGATGGTAGTTGCCAAAATCCCTTTAAACAAGGCGGCAATACATCAAACTGTGCCTGCGTTTCAATAGGACTTTGAGAGAGGGATCACATGCAGACATATTTATGTGTGTGTGTGTATGCTGTTGTATTATTGTATGTTGTCACAGCACCAAGTGGCAAAACATCATCGAAGTATGTACCTACAAGACACGCATACACACACACCCACACATGTTCAGCTGAATGCTCGAAAATGTGTACGAAATCACACGCAGAGTTGTCACGAATAAAAGACTACGAAGAAATATACCACTACAGTTGCAAGCGTACATATGTGTGCGTGTGGCAGGTGTGTGTAGCAAGGATGCCCGCAGGACACACCTACAAATGTACGTGCCGTTCGGCAAAGTAAAATATATCATAAGAGCATACAAAAACACACATATGTGTGAATATCTGGCTGTGTGCTGGCAGTAAAACATTTACGGTGTGGCACGAAAGCGTGTATGAAATCAAAACCCTGGTAGGCAACAATATAAGCAGCGTAGTAAACGTGGCTGCAGCAACCAAAGCAACAGCAGATATTATGCAATAGCAATAGCGCCAATATGAATGGGATATAAAGCAGAATATAGTGCAACACACACACACACACTTTCACAGAGCTACGAGACAACGCTAACACAGAGATAAATAGTCGAATAGTCTTGTAATTGTGGTCTATTACAAAAACAACAAGTAAGGATTTCACGTAAGCAGCCACAGAACCTGTTTATAGCCGTGCGTATATGCTTATCTCACACACACATACATACAGACGTTCGATGATGCCTGCCGCATAACACATGGTACACATGTTACCTTGAATGTGGGTAAACATATCCACATTTGTGTTGTTGCGCAATTTGTTAACGCCTGCGGCTGAATTTCTAAATTTTGTCTGCTGCTTGCCGCGTTTTCGATGTTGCAACATCTTTTCCTCCCTTTATTTATTTATTGTCCGCTCATTATATTTACTTTGCGTTGATGCTCGCACAGCAGTTACCAAAACACAGACCCGGAAAGGAAAACATAGACATAAAATGTCAGTTAATATTTCATAAGTATGAGTTAATATTACTGTTATGTTGCTGAATTAATGCAATGGCATTTATATCACTTTAAATCGAATTTCTTCTGTATATGTTTTTACAGCTGTGCCCAGAGCAAGAAACTGTGTGCAAGCGGAAATTGAGCAATAACAAGCGGAAAGTAGTATTTAAATGCTTTATTTTTCCTTTTAAAAATTTAATTTTTCCATGACTTTTATTTGCAGAATAACACAAAATATAGACCATATACCCTTTCTAGTTCTATCACTAAGCGTAACTAAAATTATATCACTGCTAAACATTCTCAAACGACAGTAGAGCTTTAGAAAGTTCTCATGGAGCTTTTATTTACTCAACACTTCCTTTTGGAGTCTAACTTATTTTGCATTCAGACACCAAGATGTGGATCACTCTAAAGAAATTGCAAGTGACAGTCCTTTGTGAAACT